GCGGTAGGTATTTCAAAACTAATTGGTTTGTAAATTTGCTAAACATTAATATACATGGGTGCAGGGCTAAAGTTACAATAAAATTATTCATTTCCTAGTTTCTAAATGGTGACTACCTCATATGCAAACATAAGGGAGGTCCAACACTGCAACTGTTGATTGAGTGTCTTGTATAACAACATACTAACATTGGGTCAGTATTGCAGCTTCCTGCAATGAACTACACAATACAGATCTCCACCTAAGGTCACTTAAGCCAAAGCTTTATCATCTCAACAATTGTGGCCGTTCTATTACAAGGAATGGTTATAAAACTGGTTTGTAATTTTACTTAGCAGCAATATAAATGAGTGAACTAATAAATTAATTGAATACTGTATACTGAACAGAGTTGACACAACAGAATTGTAACAACACTGAACAGAGTTGACACAACAGAATTGTAACAACACTGAACAGAGTTGACACAACAGAATTGTAACAACACTGAACAGAGTTGACACAACAGAATTGTAACGACACTGAACAGAGTTGACACAACAGAATTGTGACGATACTGAACAGAGTTGACACAACAGAATTGTAACAATACTGAACAGAGTTGACACAACAGAATTGTAACAATACTGAACAGAGCTGACACAACAGAATTGTGACAAACACTGAACAGATCAGCCACAACAGAATTGTAACAACACTGAACAGAGTTGACACAACAGAATTGTAACAACACTGAACAGATCAGCCACAACAGAATTGTAACAACACTGAACAGAGTTGACACAACAGAATTGTGACGATACTGAATTGTAACAATACTGAACAGAGTTGACACAACAGAATTGTAACAACACTGAACAGAGTTGACACAACAGAATTGTAACAACACTGAACAGAGTTGACACAACAGAATTGTGACGATACTGAACAGAGTTGACACAACAGAATTGTAACAACACTGAACAGAGTGGAAACAACAGAATTGTAACAATACTGAACAGAGTTGACACAACAGAATTGTAACAACACTGAACAGATCAGCCACAACAGAATTGTAACAATACTGAACAGAGTTGACACAACAGAATTGTAACAACACTGAACAGATCAGCCACAACAGAATTGTAACAACACTGAACAGAGTTGACACAACAGAATTGTGACGATACTGAATTGTAACAATACTGAACAGAGTTGACACAACAGAATTGTAACAACACTGAACAGAGTTGACACAACAGAATTGTAACAACACTGAACAGATCAGCCACAACAGAATTGTAACAACACTGAACAGAGTTGACACAACAGAATTGTAACAACACTGAACAGAGTTGACACAACAGAATTGTGACGATACTGAACAGAGTTGACACAACAGAATTGTAACAACACTGAACAGAGTGGAAACAACAGAATTGTAACAATACTGAACAGAGTTGACACAACAGAATTGTAACAACACTGAACAGATCAGCCACAACAGAATTGTAACAATACTGAACAGAGTTGACACAACAGAATTGTAACAACACTGAACAGATCAGCCACAACAGAATTGTAACAACACTGAACAGAGTTGACACAACAGAATTGTGACGATACTGAATTGTAACAATACTGAACAGAGTTGACACAACAGAATTGTAACAACACTGAACAGAGTTGACACAACAGAATTGTAACAACACTGAACAGAGTTGACACAACAGAATTGTAACAACACTGAACAGAGTTGACACAACAGAATTGTAACAACACTGAACAGAGTTGACACAACAGAATTGTGACGATACTGAACAGAGTTGACACAACAGAATTGTAACAACACTGAACAGAGTTGACACAACAGAATTGTAACAACACTGAACAGAGTTGACACAACAGAATTGTAACAACACTGAACAGAGTTGACACAACAGAATTGTAACAACACTGAACAGAGTTGACACAACAGAATTGTGACGATACTGAACAGAGTTGACACAACAGAATTGTGACGATACTGAACAGAGTTGACACAACAGAATTGTAACAATACTGAACAGAGTTGACACAACAGAATTGTAACAACACTGAACAGATCAGCCACAACAGAATTGTAACAACACTGAACAGAGTTGACACAACAGAATTGTGACGATACTGAATTGTAACAATACTGAACAGAGTTGACACAACAGAATTGTAACAACACTGAACAGAGTTGACACAACAGAATTGTAACAACACTGAACAGAGTTGACACAACAGAATTGTAACAACACTGAACAGAGTTGACACAACAGAATTGTGACGATACTGAATTGTAACAATACTGAACAGAGTTGACACAACAGAATTGTAACAACACTGAACAGAGTTGACACAACAGAATTGTAACAATACTGAACAGAGTTGACACAACAGAATTGTAACAATACTGAACAGAGTTGACACAACAGAATTGTAACAATACTGAACAGAGTTGACACAACAGAATTGTAACAACACTGAACAGAGTTGACACAACAGAATTGTGACGATACTGAACAGAGTTGACACAACAGAATTGTAACAACACTGAACAGAGTTGACACAACAGAATTGTAACAACACTGAACAGAGATGACACAACAGAATTGTAACAACACTGAACAGAGTTGACACAACAGAATTGTAACAACACTGAACAGAGTTGACACAACAGAATTGTAACAACACTGAACAGAGTTGACACAACAGAATTGTGACGATACTGAACAGAGTTGACACAACAGAATTGTAACAACACTGAACAGAGTGGAAACAACAGAATTGTAACAATACTGAACAGATCAGACACAACAGAATTGTCACAATACTGAACAGATCAGACACAACAGAATTGTGACAATACTGAACAGATCAGCCACAACAGAATTGTCACAATATTAGATATGTCCCCAGACAGATCTGTGGAGAAATTTCATTCCAAATATATGTATGACATTAATCAAACATCAAACAAGTTGACAAAATATACCTGGAAAATCCACCTTAGACATCAGATCTAATCCAACACTTCAAATCAGATCAGTTTGTCACTTATCCCTGGTTATTTCTCAATCTTCTAGGTGGCTTTTTGTGTCTCTTGAATCAATATTCATCTGCTGTGTGTCAGTTTTACTAACTATTGTCTGTGAATATTCACATCACAGGAGATCTGTCTCTGGAGAAATTATAACGTAGAGTTCCACTGGTGTTGAATAATAGCACTCTGAAGAAGTACTTATCCTCAATAATTTGCATAAATAATCACTATGGATAAAGTTACCAATGCAAGCGTAAAGAGATAATAAAAATATCTAAAATATGATAGAGGCTTTGGTTGACTCCACTTCTTATGCCAAACAATGCCTGCCTTCAGTTTGACTCAGTCAAAACATTTTCCTCTTGTCAACAAACACTGCCAGGTAAACATGCATGAGTTCTTCATGCATACTGTGTACATATGGCACCGATCAAGAAATACATGTTTGAATAGAGTTTGAAAATACGATATGGCCTTTTATTATTTGGATCACGGTTGAAATGAGGTTGCCCAGTCAGTGTACATGGTGTATTGGGTCAGCCGTATATACAATTTGTAAACTTTAGTCATAACGTGTACCCGTTAACATACCTGTATAACCAACATGACAGGCTTAACCTCTTACAACTTGTTAGCTTCAAATCTAAATTTATGATTTTTTAATCTATAATTTTACACAGTTTTATACAGTTTAAAACTTTTAAAAAAATTAACAATTTTTTTGCTTTATTTTATTTAATCTCTGATCTCTATAATTATGTTCACCTTGATATTTCTATAATTATGTCAGTGTATTAAGTGAACACTTTTAAAGCCAAGCAATCTTTGTCCCTTTGCTAAATATGTACAGAATACATGTATGCTACATCGTATCAGGGAATGACTAGCTGGCTTTGTGTGTTTTGGAAAATGAAAGATAACGATCAGTTTTGATACTTCATAAATCAAACTAGCTGTGATGTCACTACTTAATATTTTTTAGCTTTGGTAAGATATTGTTCTTAAATTAACCAATTCAATATTTTTTTTTCTCTGTGTATGTTTGCTTAACCCAAATTTTTATCGTAATGAAAACGTCACTATAACCGGTTACTGATAACAATGTCAGCAAGATATCGTGTATGAAAAGCTAAAGTCAGTGGAAGTGTCCAATCAAACAACCCATGGTAACAAAAATATTTCTGTTAAAACTATCTCGGTAAATTGTTTATCAAATTATACCATATAATAAAATGCTGATTCACCATTATCATTTAAATTGATAGAATCCAAAGTCCAATACCAATTTACTGACAGATCTAGTAAATGTTACAATAAATCCGACCTTCATTGGCTTCAGTCAAGGTCATAAAAGATTAAAGTCATTTCAAGGATCTTGATGCAGGTATGATGGAATATAATGGAAACTATTTTTTTCAATTAATAGCAGCTTTTTGTTTTTATCAGATCCTGAATAATAAATTTGTGTAGTTGGTTTTTCAATCATTACAACAAAGATGTATAGAATGAAAATTAAAACAAGACGCTCAAGGGCCTTAACAGTCATCTGACATAAAATAAAAGATTTCAAATTTTGAACTTGAGAAGAAGTCGAAAATGTGTTTTCAAGATGGTGGCCATGTTGGATTTCTGACCAACCCAAAATTAACAAACTTTGGTCAGGATCATGTCACGATCATTTCAGGTAAGTTTCAGCTCAATGAGACATGTAGAACTTGAGAAGAAGTTAAAAATGTTTACGATGTACGACGGACGGCGAATGACGAACGACGCCTGACAAAAGGTGATCGCAATAGGTCATCAGACCCTTTAGTTAGATGACCTAAAAAATCTGTTGGGTATTTTTAATTCACAGAAGGAAGTCGCTTTGCTTCTCATCAGTGAAAAGAAGACTATAATATCGGACCTTATACAAGAATAACATCAAATGGAAGAACAGTCTACTTACTGAAGTATTTGAGCGTCTCAGCAATTTGTTCTGTGGTCAATTCAATATCCTGATCAAGAGGGATCACTGGGGTCTGTATCCAGTCTTCATTCTCATAACCACAGAAATTTGTGATGGTATCAGCACGCAGACGATATTTAGGGATCTGTTCCTCGATCAAACTCAAGATCTCAACTTCTGGGAGATCGGCACTGTTACACACGTCTGAAATAAGATGTTATATTAACAATGAAATTCCAGATCTTGATTACTGTGTGATGTTACACACACCTGAAAAAAAATTTTCGTCACAAAATTGTAAAATTATGTTTAAATGTATCACAGAGAATTGAAAACCGACATACTTTGCTTTCTGTTAAGAAATTATTTACTTTTTTTCGTATATCAATAAAGACTGATAAATCAGTACAAACCTAGTTTTTGTCTCCCCTACCTGAGAAAAAGGGTTCTTCAGTGACATGTTTCACTTAAAACTTCAAATACCAACACTAAAACACCTAAAGTTAATCACATTCAAAGTAAGTTCTGCAAAACCTCTTAATTCTTTCTTCTGTTTTATTTTTATCCAAATCAATTCAAAAAACAATATATACAGTTCAAGCCCACTCCCCCACACAAAGACTACTTCCACCTTCAAATTTCAATGACAAATTTTAAAGGTCACAGATAGTGGAGGAAGATGTGGTCATGTTTCCTTTGTAGGCCTAGGTTTGTGATACATGTCCACAAAAAACATCCACAATGACAACAGTAAAAGTTGAGGCATGTTAAACTTGCAGACAGTTGACCTGAAGGATATGTACAGGACATGCAGCGCGAGTCTGAAAGTGTTACATCACTGTTTTGGTGTTATCAGTGACATTCCAGGTAACATAGGTAAATCATTAAGGTGTGTGAGGGTACAGTTATCTTTACGTAGTTGACTAATTCCTGAGGTAAACTGACGTGTACGTATATATATCTATGTCAACAGAGCTGAAAACCTACAGGTAACACGCTAAATCATCTAATTATCCGAAAAAAGATACTGAACAGAACTATCTACATATAACTAATTCACTTAAATACAACAAGCTAGATAATAAACATAAATCGGACAAAACATGATACACTACATGTGATACATGCCCTGTAATCATTTTTATGTATAAAAATTTTGAAAAGTCACTTTTTTAAAATATGTTATTATTGGAGTACCTCAGCAGATCTAAAGTTGGGAAATCATTTAAATCTTTTATTTCAAATATCAAAATAATAAAATATTCAAGATCCTTTCAAGTTTTAGCACGTAATCAAACAATTTTGCAGAAATCAAAACACGGACAGACACCTACACATATATATAAAGTTTGAAACATTAAAAATGATTTATAGTCAGAAGTGGGCGTCTATGTACCACTTGAAAACCCACCTGCCTAAATTAAATATTTAAATTGAATTTGTTTTTTTCAGTCTCTCTTGAATCTTGAAAATTAGTCAACAATCCTACAAGATATGCCAGTAAACAAGGGTGTACATGTAAATACTGATATCTATAGTATAGGTAGGGTGTTTACCTACAATAAATTCTCCAACCCCACACAAAATTACAGAGGAAGGGAAATAAATACAGAGACATAATAGACTATGCTCTGGACTACAGGATATGATTCCGTGAAAATTGATCTATGACAAATAATTTTTTTGTATTTGAAACTCTGTCTTTTAAAAATCAAACAGCTAGGTAAAACATACTCCCAACAGGTATAGATGTATACTATATAATTGTGATAGTCATTTTGTCTCATCTTGGCAGACTGATGAACTGGGAAGGAAATGTTCAGGAGTAATTCCTAATATTGGGAAATCAACTTGAATATGAAATAGTTTCAATTGGTAATGAGGCCCATTATAAGCCCCTAAAATCCTTCAAAAAGCCTTCATGAAAGCCCTGTTGGCATGAGAAATATTAATTTAGCTAACTGCCTGACTCTGACTTGAAAATGATACCCACAATAAACCTGTAAAGACTAGTAAGATTTTAATGTATGTTGTGCTCCGACTAGCTTCCCCTTCCGTCTTTTCTTATAAATTTGTAAGTATTTTTGGCTTTGAGTTATCTCCCCTACCAAAGTATCAAAGTATTTTAAGCTGTACTTTCAGTTTTCATTACAAATTTTAGTAATATAACTTAAGGACCCCATCTGCACATTTTGTGTTTTTTATAAGATTAAAAAAAAAAATTGCAACAATTAACAGGTACAACATATGGTTTTACGAATCATCTTGACTAGTTCAATGCAGGATGTTAATACTTGTCCATGTATATACGTACATGGAATATCTTTTCCTATAAAAACATTGACCAAAAATTTAGATCTTCCTCATCAATGTTTTAATGGTACAGCAACTAAAACTATGTACAAAATAGCCTAATATATAGCCATCTTTTGTTAAACAAATCTTTCAGTATCTGAGTAAAATTACAAACCTGTTTTCATTTCTTTTGTTACCTCCCCTTCCACCCTTTTCCTCTCCTTCTCCCACTTAGTCCTTAAATAACTCGTAGCTACTGTTCAGCTTGTCGTACAGCAAACATTAACTTTGAGTGATATATAGGTAAGACTTGTTTTTTGAAGTGTAGTTCTGAGTGGAAACGTAAACTTAAACAACATGTTGAAACTACGTCTGAATGATAGTTAAATATTTTTTGTTTGATTACAAAAAGGTATTGGATTGTAAATTTAATAAATAATCAATAGGATTATTAAAACATTTTTCCGTTGAGGTAATTATGACCTACTTCAGACCTGTTCATTCTAGACAAAAATTAGATGAGTAATATATGGCTAACTATCAATAATTCAATTGTAAGAAATGAGTTCTAGTATCTACAATATTGATGTGTAGATATGCTTTTGCCTGGTAATATCAGGAAATCAATGTTTACTGTTCAGTTCATACTGATCTACATGTCAGAGTTTTCTTCATTTCATCCCACCATCTTTGTCAATGTATTCTAAATATGATTTAAATAGTTAATCAGCTTCATATTATATAATCAAATCAGTCTGTATCTACTGTTACCACAGGTAATTAATCCTATATTTAATGGTTAATCAGTCTGTATCTACTGTTACCACAGGTAATTAATCCTATATTTAATGGTTAATCAGTCTGTATCTACTGTTACCACAGGTAATTAATCCTATATTTAATGGTTAATCAGTCTGTATCTACTGTTACCACAGGTAATTAATCCTATATTTAATGGTTAATCAGTCTGTATCTACTGTTACCACAGGTAATTAATCCTATATTTAATGGTTAATCAGTCTGTATCTACTGTTACCACAGGTAATTAATCCTATATTTAATGGTTAATCAGTCTGTATCTACTGTTACCACAGGTAATTAATCCTATATTTAATGGTTAATCAGTCTGTATCTACCGTTACCACAGGTAATTAATCCTATATTTAATGGTTAATCAGTCTGTATCTACCGTTACCACAGGTAATTAATCCTATATTTAATGGTTAATCAGTCTGTATCTACCGTTACCACAGGTAATTAATCCTATATTTAATGGTTAATCAGTCTGTATCTACTGTTACCACAGGTAATTAATCCTATATTTAATGGCTAATCAGTCTGTATCTACTGTTACCACAGGTAATTAATCCTATATTCAATGGTTAATTATTATACAAATTATCCTATTTCACAAGTATATATAATACTTATAAAACTTTTCATCAATATAAATTCTATATCCACCCATGTCGCATAATATCTCTCACAGTACCTTGCCAAAAATAACAAGGGTCTGACGAATGAGGTACTTCAATGACGAACAAGTAATTAGTAAAACTGTCGTGTGGATACATATAAACCTTCAATATAACTTGACTTTAAAAGTAGAATTACCAGAGATGCCTGTCATTCCCACATACTCCTTAATCCATCAGCAGAATTATAAAACACTGGTGTAATTATTTACAGTGACGCAATAGAATGGCAGTGTTGCACTAGCTGCTTCGGCTGCTGAGAAATACCCTGTGGATAACCAAACATTCATCTGACACAGAATCAGGAGAATCTGCATGTGTATAGCCTCTAGACTTCTAAACATTCATCTGACACAGAATCAGGAGAATCTGTGTGCATTCACCTGACACAGAATCAGAATAACATGTGTACAGCCTGTGGCTGGAACTGGTGGACTTCTAAACATTCAGGTGACATGGAATAACAATCCTGCGTTTAATAATGATTACGATAGGATTTCAATCAATACTCATTCATAATCATCGGAAAGCTTTATTAGAACTAAATGACTTGGACTTGACTCACGTGTGCTTCTTAACAACCAGCTAGGTGGATTTGTTGATCATCTCTAATAGTCTAACTGACAAAAAATGAAAGGATGTCAGGATTGACAAAAGGAGAGAGAGCGGGGAGTCATGAACACTGTTTATACACTACAGGTGTTGGCATCAGTTGGTGTATAATACACATGATGTTTGTAACTAACAAATCTTTACACATAAGTAATAAAGAGAAGCAGAAAATGTACAACTAGTACAAGCTAACAGAAAGGTCAATTCCAGGAATAAGGTTACCGTATGTACGGTCAACCATGGAAAAGGAAAAAATTTGAGTACCAAAAGAAAAGTGAAATTAAACCTCAGAACCACAAATACCAAAATAACAAAAGGAAAAAACCTGCTAACTTGTTACTACACAAATGCAGATAGTCTTATGAATAAACTGTATGAGCTGAAAACATGTACATAATTGGAATAACTGCAATGCTTCCAAAAAACTGTACGTACCCACCTAACAAAGCTGAATTTTGCATACCTGGTTATAGTCTGTTTATGACAGAGGAGACTAAAACAGTCACAGAGGTGTGGGACTGTATGACAAAGAGGAACAAAATGGACAGGAAGTCAGTGTGGGAAGCCAATTTAAAGACAGTATATAGGTAAAAATTAATCTGTCCAAAAGTAAGTGTCTGTTGATCAGACGCATTTACCAAAGCCCTAACTCTAATGGTGAAAACACTGAAGAACTTCACAAATTGATTTACAATATGGTATCTACTGCAGCACACAGTCAATTGTTGATTTTTGGTGATTTCAACCTCCAAAAGAATTGACTGGAATACTTGATCATCGAAAGGTGATAAAGAAAGTGATAATTTTATCAGATGTCTGATCATGAGAGACAATTACCTGTAATAAAAATGTATCAACATGTATTAAATCATACATGAGTAAAGAAAGGTAACGAGCCCAGTACCCTAGACTCTTCTAATGAAGGGGAGATAATAAAGAACATATAGTACAACAGCCAAGTTGGCAATAGTGATCATCTTCTGTTATGTGATTTTTATTGTCAAAAACTTTCTAAAGAAAATTCAATGCCTCGTTTAAGATATAATAAAGAAGATTATGCAAGGATAAAAGATGACTTTCTCGAGGACTGGACCGATTTGTTACCAGGCAGCATGGAAGAAATGTACAGTACATTCCCACAGATAAAAGAGATATCCATCATCAACAAAAAGAACAAAAATTACCATTGGAAGGTTCTGTCCGAATAAAAATATAAAAAAAGCACCGAGCATAGCAAAGTTATACGGAAACAAAAAGTAAAGAGAAGTATAGAGAGTATGCTAAAATAAGATACCAGCTGAAGAAGGAGATAAGGAAATCCAGACAGGAAAGAACAACACCAAAGATATAAAATCACAGCCAAAATGCTTTAAGAGAAGCACAAGAACAGGAATTTCTGACCTCATAGGAATAAACGGTGACAACCAGCAGCTGGCTGTAAACAATATCCATAACCAGAAGTTTTGGCATGCTTTTTCAGCAGTGTATTCACACAGGACCCAAAAAGGGATGGTAAATACACATGGTAAATCATCAGAAACATACACAGTATTGAGTGGAATTCCCAAAGGTAGTGTACTTGGCTCCATCCTCTTTGTAATATTTAATACTTGGCTCCATCCTCTTTGTAATATATATAAATGATCTACCAACTGCATATCAAACATACCTATTTGTGGATTATACTATACAGGCATATAAACATAAATGATACATTTATTCCAGGTTCTATTTTTAGTAACAGCAACCTTAGACCTTCACCTTCTGAACAGGTTTAACCCCTATTATACATCTGTAAACAACATAGTGAACCATATATAAACAAGTGCAATAGATAGATGTTTGGCCTTTTCGATTCTGAGAAAAGGAAAATCTTGATGGACAGATGAATGAACGGCCTCCGTGTTAACGGCACCTGTAATTCCATCTGGAGCCTTAATCAAACATCTTCAATATCCATGAATTGACTCATTTACTTGTGATCTATATAAATTTTTATCATCATAAATTTACATTACAGCTTGAATTAAATGATGGGAGTTTCATAATAAAAAAATTTAGAAATTAAATTATGTAATCTAAAAACTATCATTTCTATCAGTGATGCTTATGTTTTTTGATGTTTGAATGACACTTGAAGATTTATAATGTTGTAGTGAATATGACAATTAGTCACAATTGAAAACCAATGAATAATATTTTTTATGGTATTTTTCTAGGCATCAACTTCACTGAGATTTGGTAGAAAGTTCTCCCTTTCTTTAACAGTGAATATATAAACCTGTTAGTTAAGAACAGGACTTCAACTTTGTATCTGTCTAAAATTAACTTAGAGGAGTATGGGTAAAATGGTTTTTTTTTTAAAAAAATGACGGAAATAGATTATTGTAAATGGTGTCAAAAAAGGAAACGTGAAATAGATAATATGCAGGCCTGAGCTGATATTTCATTGCTTTTCCAGACAAAACTAAACAGGAACAATTATTGATCGTATAATTAGCGTAAGGTTACGTGCTGCAGTCTGAGGGGAGACTTAACTGTTGTAGATGTACATACTGAAGAGCTTAGAGTCTATAAGACTGACCTAACTGCTGTAAACTGATAGAGTTAGAGTACTACCGTAGTCTACTGCTATAAACAATGAGTACTATACAGCCTGGTACTATCCAGGAAATTTTACTCATTTGTGTCTGTCACGATCGGGATGACATCACCTCATATTACAGAATTAACCTGATATATACGTCTAATTGATTTCACAATTAATGAATTAATCAATCTAATAAACACCAGACCTACATAGTAATTAACTTATCATGAACACCGCTATATTGTCAATGATCCGACTTGTACTGTGACTATAAATCTACAATAGCTGTCCTTGGGAATCAGCCAAATTACTTACTGTATTATATACTGCACATATTGTGTTACATGCGTACAATGCACATGTCAACAGGTCTAGGCTTTCTGAATCTTCACATCTACATGTATATTACAATATAAGTATACATATACATGCAGAGTAATATATTTATATAAACATATATGTATGCAGGATATAGGTACCAGTTATGTAAGCAACAAATGTTAGGAAGTACTAGGCGATCATGAAAAAGTATAATATCCCAATAAGCAGATTACCCAAACAAAGATTCCAATAACAAGGTTGTATTCAATCATATCATTATTCATATTACTAATTTCTCTCATAGATTACATGTACATTAGTGTTGGAATCTGAATAAAAAAAAAAAAAAATAAGTCCTGGATTGCGAATGAAAAAGAAAAATGGATATATGTATACCAGTGAGTCTAGCCACAGTATGGCTGTGCTTGCTGCTGGTCCCTACTTAAGTTAGAAATTTATGGCTTTTTCAATAAATGAATCATTCTTATATCAAATATCCCAACTTAAATTTCAAGTACCACCTTAAAATGTAATGTGTAAAGTTATTTGTTTTTGTAAAGCAAATCTGTAAATGTAGTATAAATCGTCTGAAGTTCTTAACATGTACAATGTCCCTAAAGGTATTTAGGGGGTGTAATACAATATAATACTTTATTTCAATGAAGTTCAGAAGAGTTATTCCCCTTGTTTATTTCCAGACAATCTTTAAAATCCAGTTGTTAAAATACATTTTCATGTCCTGTTGTTTTCAATATCTTTTCAAATTATTACTCACTACTCCTTAAGTAACATATTCTCTTCAAGAAAGCAAAAGCATACGCTCATGATTTAGAATTTGGAAATCACGGACAGTCCTTAAGTTATCTATCAAACCTTGAACATATGATTTACAAAAACACTTTATTGTACAATATTTGAAAGTAAATTTTTGGTTAGCTGAAGCCAAATTTTCTGTCAAAATAAAGTGTTAATTACAAAACATTGTTAGCACTGATTATCTGATTAATTAATTAATCCAGATAAATTGCTCAAATTCTTAGTTTCAATAATCTAGTGTTATGTAAGATTTTCAGTACATGTTCAATCCCCTCCCAAAAAACTTAAAATCACTTCACCAATTTTACTGAATTCCTAGATTTCAAAAGAAGTTTCTAATGTAATTTAAACAGGGATAATGTTAAAAAACAGAACTGTATGTTTCATTGATCTTAGCAGATTAAATGACAAATTTTTCCACTGTTAGTAACATTAATCAGGTGTTACAGACAGGAGGTCTTGATAACCCTATTGTTAGACAGGAAATCTATACCCAACACCTATCAAAGCCTTAGGAAAAAGAGAATGTCCTAGCCTCTGTGTTGCCTCTAGTTTATATACCCAGTAAGGTTATAAATAAACCAGCTAGTGCATTTCCAGGAACTTTGCTATTTAATGTAAACACATGTTGTTAGTGTCTTGTAACAATGGAATATATTTCGACCAATATTATAAATCATTGTCGATTTTGCCTTCGTTGTCTGGATATAAGCCTGTACAGTGACTAGTAAGAAGCCCACACTGTGACGTTGAATCAGAGATAAAGTGAAGGCCACATAAGCTTTTCATCGTTTAATAATTTAGTACAATCTGACTTTTAATCAGAGGTAATAAGTTTGCCCCTGGGTGTTTATGCATGTAAAACCACCTCTACA